TCCCAATTCCTTGACCTTGGCTTTGTTCCTATTGTTGGCCATCTGAAATTTCAAAGTCTCTTGACGATTCCTTTCTGCATCAGCGAGGGATATTTGATATTCTTCCGTAGAAACAAAAGAGTTTTCATCTCTAGGTCGTTTCTTGTAACTACCTTTCCCTTCATATTCTTTCAGTTGATGGCCCAAGTCCCTTTTCTTTTCAGTTAAGAAATAAATTTCCATTTTTTTGTCTTCCAAATTCTGGAGAAGGTCCCTATTCTCCAATTGTACTTGATAGAAGCGTTCATTAGGCACATCCTGTTGCAACTCGGTGGGTTGAAGATACAAGGAGATTTCCTTTTTAAAAGGCAACATAAGAGTTTTGACTCTTTCCTTCAACCAATCCACGTAAGGATCGAAAGCTAATACCTCTTTTGTCCTAAATAATTCCTTTCCTTTCCTTCCAACATGTGCCCAAGCGATCTCCACTTTCTTCAGCAATTCTGGGTCTTCTCCTTTTTTGAAAAACATAGGTTCGACCTCCTTGGCCATGGGTGGACGCCTCATGGCATAACCTAATTGGCAAAGAGAGAGTACTGGATTGTAGTTGATAACTCCTTTTGTTCCCATGAGCGGAACATTAGAGAAACCTGCACAGTGATAGATGACTTCGAAGCTATCCACCTTAAGTTTGTATCATTGGATATCGAAAGAGGTGAGTGTCATCACTTTGGATGCCCACGAACGAGGATCTTCTTTGAATGGCCCTTTGGTGGGTAACTGTGCGAAGAACCATTTGTAAAGCATAGGTGTACATCATACTATTACTCCTTTCTTCCCATGCCTGGAGTGGATGGCGTGGTAAGTATCTGCTAATAGCGTGGGTATAGGATTCTTATTCATGAAGACGCAAAGAGAAGCCAAGTCTATGATTTCTTTAATTTCAGGGAATAAGACAACTCCGTAAATGATGGCAGCCAACAGAGCATAATAAGCATCCAAAATTCCCCATGTTCACCATTTCCTTAGGCTTACTTGCCAAGAAATCTACAGGAAGACCACAAGTGACTTTGTTACGTCTCCATTTCCCTTTTACCTCGTTCAGGCTCAAATAAAGAACCTTAGCAATGGCCTCAAAGTCGGGCTCAACAGGGACTCGAACAAATGGAACATGGCTGGTGAGCTTAATGTGGAGAAGATGAGCACACTCCTTAAGAGTAGGTGCTAATTGGTAGTCTTGAAATGTGAAGCAACGCAACTCCGGATCATAAAATTGTAACAAATTTTGTACAACCTTGTCTTTAACCCGAGCATCCAATAAAGATAGGAGATTCCCATATCTTTCACCAAAAGCACCCATTTGTTGACAATTCATGAGGTCTTTGAGTTCTTCAAGAGAGGGCCAAATACTAGGACGGAACTGATAGCTGAAATTATCCCTCTTTGTCTTTAGGGTGATATCAATATTGTTTTCTATTCTTTGGAGGAAAGGGAAACCCTGGAGAGATCCTGGAAATAACAATGCACATGCAAATTAATTATTGACATATATATTTTTTGAAAAGTAAATATGCTATGATGTGTGTGCAAGTGATCATGGGGTTACTACTTCCATGATACTGATTTCTGTTGTAGTACTTCTTCATATTCTTGTTAATATCGAGATTATAGGTATGAAACGTAACCGGAAGAAATCCATGAAGATCATGGATGGGTCCTCAGAAAATAAATCTGAGAACCTCATAATTGTTGGCAGAAATCCAGGACATAACTAAAAGTAACCATCTGAATATAGTCACCAACTGTACCTGTATTAATAATTCCCTCCCCACTCACGTGTGAAGACTAGGTCAGGGTGAGATAATGGTAACTCGAAAATCACGGGTCCGCCTGAAAGTAAAATCATCGCAACACAGACGTGCATGATGAAAGTACTCCTAATTGAACCTCATCCGAGCATGGTATATGACATGACTGCACTAATCGGACCACGTCCTATAGCCGTCATGCCCCAACTCTATTCCTAGGTGTCCTAGTGCACTCTGACCTGGGTACTGGGCCTTTTACCTCAATAGTAAGATCCCCACCCAAACAAGAAGCAGATCCAGTACAACAGCAGTATATTGAAGACGATAAAGTGTAATACATGCGTATGCACGAGTATATTTAAAATGAACGAATAAACTGAAAGCATAGAAATAAACACCCAAAGAAAAGAAAACAAGAGCTAGGAGCGACTCCGAGATGGACCAGCATTTGGTCGACCTGTCCCCAGTGAAGTCGCCAGCTGAAACAACCAGCTGAAAATCATTAAACAAATGAAGTCGCCATCGAACGTCTTTTATCCCACATGTAGGGAAAGGTAAACATCGAGAAAACCTGAGAAGGGAGAAGTCACGATCTTGCGACCGAGAGATAAGGGTAAGGGAGTCTGTTACGCGAGGGGAAGGTATTAGCACCCCACACGCCCGTAGTACTTTATGGTATCCACTCTTGTTGTCTATCTTATGGGTGTGTTCAATCTATGCTTACTGTTTACTACTGCTAAAGGGAGAATGCATGCAAAAGAAAAGGAGAAAAGAATGTAGGGAAAATAAAAGTTGTGCTTGTTCGGGCCCTACCCCGATGCCTACGTATCCCTTTTAAGGAATCAGAGCAGCCGTAGTTCGGCTCATATGTTTTTGTTGGTTTGTATTTTTTAATGAACAATATTAATTTCGCCTTCTACTGCAACTCGACCTTGGGAGACTTACGCGTCAGCACAGAAGTTAATTAACATGCTCTTTTGAAAAAAAGTTTGGAGAATAAATGTTGATGCATCATCGATGTGAAAATAAATCACAATCGAGATTTCAAGCGTATTCGCATATCGTATAATAAACTTGCATAATATTTAAATCTCAACAAAGCAAAGGTGAATCATGAATTTCGAATGATCGGATAACCATGAATTAATCCCAAAAAAATCAAAAAAATAACGAAAATCTAACAAATTTTAATGGTTTTTATATTTTTTTTATTTTGTGAAGAAAATTAAAACAAGTCTAAACTATAATCAAAATTAAAAAAGAAATTGCAAAATATCAAAAACAAAAAACAAGTCCAAGGGGTGCAGGTGAAATCCAGGAGGTGTGCTGAAGTAGTTTGGGCGTTAGGCCCAACCAAAATGATCCATGATGCCCCCTTTTTTTTTACTGCAATAACGGGCCTAGAGGGGGTGTAAGCCGGATTCAGAGGTGTAAAATAATGAACATTTCTAAACCCAATTCACCTTTTCTAATCAAAATGTAATCAACGTTAATATTTTTTAATAATCATGAAAAATTAAAAAATGAAAGTATAGTAACAGATAAAACGGTGGCGTTTGGCAATAGGGTTAGGAATTTGTGGCTTTTGATCTCCATACGTGAAACGCAAAGAATTTCTTCCTTACTTCCATACCACGGAGGCGCGATCTCCAGTCGCCTCCGTCTTGTTTCGATTTCTTACGATCGGGTCTCTGTCTCAGTTCGTCATCGCCTCCGCGTTCTTCCTTTTCTTCTCAAAAAAAGCGACCATCTCCTCCATTCGACACCTTCCTCAATCCCAAATCAAGCACACCGCCTTAAGGGATTTGATCTTGAGCAAGATTTCTGGGCACGTAACAAGAAAAGGTGAAATTGATGATGAATCGCTGACCTGTGGTGACGAATCTTTTAGGTACGAAACGATCTGTCATACAATCTTCTTTTTATGTTTGCTTTTTTCTTCTTCATCACAGATTTCTCACGTTCCCTTTATCTAGGTTCAAACTTTTCGTATTGCTCTTGTTCATCAACCTCTCCGTCTGATTCCGTCCGCTTGGTTTCGATTTGAATCGGTTCAATCGCAAACATAAATATGACAGCACACTTAATGAAGAAGCAAGGGGCATGGAGCCTTACCTATCGAAGTTCGTCCGATGCGTCTTTGACGGCGATTAGGAAGACAAAAAAGCCAGGTATGCGTGTGTATTAAAATTCTGATTCTTCTCTCCGATTCACGCTTTTTCTTCTTTTGCTTCTATTGCATTGTTGCGATTCTGCATAGACGAGGTTGTGACTTGTGATGTTTCATTTGTTCTTGATGCAGAAATCACAATAGTGGTGCTGGAGTAGATTATGGAAGAATATGCAGAGGATGCTGATTGTGGAGATGTAATTGCATTGAAACAGGAAAAAAAATGCCGAGAGATATGAAGTAGCAAGGGCTTTTTTCAATTCTGCAGATGAAGAACCAAGGTCATCGTGAACTGGTGAGTTTCTTCCTGAAGGTCCTTTTATATCCTGAACCTCCTCCTCTCTTTTGATGCTCTATTCTGCAGACCCTTGATAAGTTTTTGTTAAGAAGTTAGTTAAGCGGTTAGAAATCAGTTAGAGCTAATTGAGGGCTTTAGAATTTTTTTATATGAGCTGGCAGGTTGGCTTGAAGTTAGTTAGAAATTGGTAAGGCGGTTAGAAATCAGTTAGAGCTAGTTTGAATAATGGTTGAAATCTGTTAATTATATTATTATTTATTTTGTTTGCTTTTTAATTTGTAGAATGAAAATACGGGATATGGTTTTTTATATTTTAAGAATTACATAAACTATCATTTAGATACTTTACTGAATGCTCTAGAAATTACCAGAAGGAGATTTTTAAGAGAGCAATACTTTTTATCATGAGGCAGACATTTGTTATCAATGGGATCCTATGGCTTCTTCATAGGTCAGATGGACTAAACATTAAAGAGTGCCTGTCCAATACCAGATTCTTCTCCCCTTCACAAATAATCACAAGTCTTTAGGTCGGTGCGTCCAGTAGTGCTGGGAGCTGCTATAGTTGTTAGCAACCGTGAGGCTACGATGTTGACTAGTCAGCAGCTGTGCATTGCCTTTTCCTTGCTTTTTTTTACTTTGATACTCTATTCCTCTGCATATGTTGTTGTTTTACTTTTCTGGACTTGTAACATTTACTGCAGATTGCTGTACCATTAACTAAAGTGGTTTCACAATGAGAGAAATGGAGTTGCAGTATAGAACTTGGGTTTGGTTGAGAAATGATTTATCGGGTGTGGAAGGTGCACCTAATCTCATGGATCGTGCGAGACATGAAAGAGTCTTGAAGGCTAGAAGCCATCCAAGAAATACCATGTCAAAGCATGTTTACAAATTTCCTGCCTTCTTCATGTTGATAATTTCTATAGTTTTTTAGTTTCCTTAATGTTATCTTTTTTCATGCAGTCCAAGACCCCATCCACTTGCTGCAATGTTTCCATCTGATGAAATATCGCAGGACAAAAGTTTCACAGCAACACTTCCAAAACTTGAATGGTATTGAATAGGAATTTTTTGTGCAGTTGCAGTGTTGATTATAGGACCAATGTCTAGGGGTTGCGCTATAACCTGACTCCGAGTGGAGTTGTTGTTGGATTGTAATTAACGTTATGCTTTCCTTATTGAAATGCTTGAATGCAAACTGACTTATTCTTGTATTTATGTAGGTCTATGGTGAATCAATACCAAGATTATAATTGAGTTAGCATAACTTGAAAGGCATGGCTAATCGAAGATGGCAATATGTTTGAAGAGGTATAGCAATGAGTAACTCGAGGGAATTGAAGTTAATTTGGGAAAAAATGGTTTAGGATAGATTTTGTTATGGATTTTGAATTTGACTGGTGAAATTGAATGGGGTTTATAGGTGTAATGACTTGAGTTTGTGAATGACAATTGTGCACTCTAACATTTGAATTTTGAACAAACTTTCCTTGACATTTCGCACGTGATTGTAGCTCTTGATCACGAATACAGTTTAAAAAATCTTTAGAATCCAATATCAATCTTTTTAAGTATTCCAAAGTGTATGTACTCCCCCCTAAAATTGAATTTGAATTTCACTTAATTTCCTTTTGACCATGTAAATGAATTCCCGTTTCATTGATCCTACAATACCATTGATGGAATAATAATGAATATCGCGAACTTTGATGATGAATGTGTTTGAACCATAATTTCACAATATTCTTTCTTTCCCCAATATTTCATGCTTATCATGACTCGAAAATAGCAATGAACGTGAATACCCATGCACCAAAACCTTCTTCCAATTTCCCTTTTGACATTTAGAGTTTTCTTCTTGATTTTGTAATATAGAACGAATCTCGAATGAAACTTGAATGCTTATGAATTTTGTTTGAATCAAGAATCTTGATTCTCAATTAAACTTCATTCTATGTTTGCACCAACGAATCCATATATAAAAAAAATATAATAAAAAAACCCAATAGCTTAAACTTAACTTTAAAAGGATCTTTGTATCAAATCCACAATATTTTCTTGTAAAGCATTTAACCAAATGAAACAACCTTCTTCTGATGATCCACAATACTCAACTGTGAGGTGCGCTTTATGAATGTTAGGAAACCAAGACCTCCATATCCATTTGACCACTAGCACAACAAAGCGAATCCCTGCCCATGAATAAATCTTAGACCCCATGCCTTGTTTTGAAGCAAATCACTATTCAAAATCCCAACTTATGATCGAGGATCCCTGAAGAAGAAGCTCTATCAGAGTATGATAACTGAAGAGAGTTCATACCTTTGTTCGCACATAGAGAGGTGGACCCTAATAGCCTTATAACTTGATGAGAAGAAGTCCAAAAATGAATCATGAACCAAAACCCTAATTCCACTGTCTTGTATACCAAGAAGAAACAGAATAATCAACCTTATCCAATCATATACATCTCAAATAAGTCATAACCCCTAGATTCATAGCTGTTAATCTTTTGAACCTCAATGCTCTTTTAAATGTAATGCATGCTATGTTAGTGACCTAATGGGATGTATGCGAATGAATGCGGAGGTCTAAGCCAAATAGAAGAAATTAGGAGGGTAAATTTTGGGATTCAACAGCTACCCCTATTTAATCGCCTTAGACCTGAAGGCGAGATTGGAGCCAGCCTTTCGAACCTTCAAGGTGGAAGAAGATTAAATACTTAAAAGAACCCGAGAATTTGCGCTCCGAAGCCAATCAGGTATACATTATATTTTTGGTTTTCTATATTTTCTATTATTATTATTATTATTTTTTATCGCGGTAGACAGCTGAGTAAATCTCTTGGATGTCAGGTCAAGGTTAGACATACAAAAGAAAGAGACCGACCAAAGGAGGCTCTGACGAAGGAACACCAATCGAAGGAGAGCTTACTAAGAAAAGAGATTAAAAGAATGGGACTCTGACAAATGATACCGGCCGAAGATGGATTTTAACAAATGATACCAGCCGAAGCGGATTTTCACAAAGGATACCAGCCGAAGCGGGATTTTAACAAAGGATACCAGCCAAAGCGGGATTTTAACAAAGGATACCAGCCGAAGCGGGATTTTAACAAAAGATACCAGCTGAAGCGGGATTTTAACAAAAGATACCAGCCGAAGTGGGATTTTCACAAAGGATACCAGGCAAAGCGGGATTTTAACAAGGGATTCCAGCCGAAGCGGGATTTTCACAAAGGATACCAGCCCAAGCGGGATTTTAACAAAAGATACCAGCTGAAGCGGGATTTTCACAAAGGATACCAGCCGAAGCGAGATTTTAACAAAGGATACCAGCCGAAGCGGGATTTTAACAAAGGATACCAGCCGAAGCGGGGTTTTAACAAGGATACCAGCCGAAGCGGGGTTTTAACAAGGATACCAGCCGAAGCGGGGTTTTAACAAGGATACCAGCCGAAGCGGGGTTTTAACAAGGATACTAGTCGAAGCGGGGTTTTAACAAGGATACCAGCCGAAGCGGGGTTTTAACAAGGATAAAGATATGTGTATATGGTCAGAGTTAGACACAGAAGAGCGAAATTGAGCATCAAGAAACAAATGTTTAGAGTTGATGGTGAGCATATGAACGAGACTAATTGAAGAAATCCCCAACAAAAAGGACGCATTCTCCTAAATAAGGATTCTAGACAACTGGACTTTGAAGAGACACTGAAGGACTCTTAACATAAAAGATTAGCTAAGCTAACAAAAGGAGGACCCAACGAACGCGGATAAACTAAAACAAGGAACCGACTAAGTAGGACCTTTAAAGAGCACAGATCGGAGGTGAACTCTACAAGAGAAAGAGACTGGTCAAAGCAGAATCTAACAAGGATTGCCAAAAAGAGGAGTGTAATTCTTCAAGAGTGCAATTATCTGAATTACCACACACCAAGTATGGATACGCAAATATTTGAGAAATAAGAAAGGCTATACACCGACCCTTACTCGCACTCTAAGGGCAAAGCAAACACGGGTAAAATAACCAAAGGCTTCCAAAGGCAAGCGCCAACCACAAACTTACTGGGGAAATGTAGAATTACCAAAGACCCGACTGGTGGTGAATCAAAACAAACTCTGTTGGGGAAACATAATAGAATAACCCTAGGCTTATTGTGGAGACAAATCAAATCCGAGTGTATAGAAATCTGGTTACCACAGGTGAACATAATTGGCTTATACTTATGCATGTCTGAAAAAATTTTATAGCGTAATGCTCCATACAATGGCAATGCTACGCGCTTTGGTAGATGCAATATAATGATGCATGTTTAATAATGCACTGGAAAACATATTAATAATCGGCTGTTGAGAAGACAAAGAACTTCCGAATGATTATTCTGGCATGTCTGATCCTTTATAGAGAAAATGCAATATGAACTTTAATGGGGCATTGAGACTCGGAACCACCAAATCCCAAAAATTGATATCACTAGGGAAGTAAGTTCTTAGGGAGAACACTACAAAAAATAAATTGTAGTTCAGAGAAAATCTTGAATTCTGGTCAAACTCCCAACTTCACGGGGAACAAATTATTTATCCTCTGTTGGTAAAAAGAAAGGCTTTGCTGGGAATAGAAACTTCTGGCATTCTGGACGAAGATAACTTCTGTTGGGAAGTATAGGAATTATTAAATAAAAAGAATTCTACTCAGGCCACACTGGGGGTAACATCGTTGGGAGGTAGAAGATCCTTACTTGGGGAAGAAACAAACATCCTGGGATAAAAACTCCACTAGGGATATCTCAACAAAATCTTTTACTACTGGTAATGAAAGAGTCAAGACTAGAATTCTCCTGCACACCTCACTAGGAAGATAGGACACTCGCTCCATTAGTGAAAGAGGAATAGTTCCACTGGGTAAATTGGATCTTACTATACGAAAATCCTCACGTTAGTCACACCCAGGCCCTTCTTGATTCACTTGTTGGTATACTTCTTGTCATAAAAGACCAACAGTACTTGCAAAAACAGAAGTTGGGGCGACATGCCCCAGTTTGGAATGGAAAACCTTACCGAAGAATAGACAATTTGAACTACCAATCACCAGGTAAAAACCGTGATGCAAGATTGCAACTTCAACACGTCGACTCCGAGGAGAAATGCCACTAAAAAGTGGACTTTAGAGAAGATGCTGCAAAAATAAATTGCAGTCCAATGAAAAGGAATCAATCTAGGATTTACATAACTTCTACATTTCCAGGAAGAAAGAACATTCTCCTCCTGCAGAGAAGTGAGGATGCTTCACTGGGGAGGAAATATCTTAGAAGAGAAAACCCCTTGGAAACAACATTTTTTTCAAGTAGCAACATGTATTTTACTTGGAGGAGGCATTCCCCTAGGAAGCAATATTTCCATCGCGTCTTGTACCAGTAAACAAGCCAAGTGATCTTTGCGCTACTGCTCATGTCCTACTGAGGATAACCATCCAAACTTCTTCGGGGATAATAACCTTGACCTAGGACAAATGATATCAATAAGTGGACTTGAGTCTCTGATAAGTCGAAGATAACAATCCTGACTTCTCAGCATGATTTTCAAATTCACTGGTCATTTAGCCTGCGTATGGATTTGATCTGATCAACAACTGAAGAAGAGAGAAAACCCTTACATAAATTCTTGCCCCAGTCTGTAAGGCTTTTGCCGAAAATCGCCTCGAGAGGACTTTTTGAGATTTACTATTGAAGACAGTCTACCCAAGTGTTATGAACTTTGGAACATGATGTTTAGATAGCCAAAATTGGAGATGATTCCAACCATGTTTGAGTGAATGCCCATACATCTTCAAATTCTAGAAGGTTCCCCTCTAATCAACGCATTCTCAGAGAGATTTGTCAAATATTAGTATAACTGCCCTAGTTTGACTGCACTTTGAGGGATAAAATCCCGACTTGAATGCCTCAGATTGGCTGAATACCTACTCGACGGAGTATTCGACACGCTTGCCCTTGCTCAACAGAATCTTGAAAAATCTTTCCTTTGTCTCATGCTCACGGAGAGATGAAAGTTTAAGGTTTTTTGAAGACAACGTAGCCTTAGAGTGGTTGGCTTACATCTTGAAAGTAGGTTACTTCACAACCATACTCCTCGACTTGAACTGCTTCATTCTCGAGAAAATACTTGAAGCAATACGTCCCTTGGGACCAACTAAAGGTAATGCACCACTGCTTGATAGAGACTCGGGGCAACCAACTTTTGTAATCTACTTCAGATCAT